CAGGTGGATCTGGCCGATGAGTTTGAAGAGGGGTTTTCTCTTTTGCGATTGTCGGTTGTGCACTAGAGTGAGCCGCTGGAGGATGATGTTATTTCATTAACACTGTCTGATTCAGGGGCCAGTGCTCTGCTGGGATCAGCCCAGCAAAAGCAGGAAATGTTTGAGGAGGGCAAAGAAGCTGAGGCTGAGCCTTCCCAATCCTTTTGCCCTGCGTATGATGAGCTTTTGGAAATTATGGATAGTGCCACGGCGAGGCTTTACTTGCCGTGAAGCGGGAGAAGAAAGTGACGTCGCGAAGTATCTCGATGAATGTTATTTTTCTGGCCATAACCCTCCAGCTCAGGTGAGCCTTCCTTTCTTCCTGTTTTCCATATATAGATTGAGAAGGAATGGAAGAGGCCGTTTTTTACCTCTAAGACTCCCCTCCTTGACATCTTGCTCGTATGCCAGGGCATACGCAGCAGCAGCAGGTCGGGCTGTCGCTTCATTGCACACGATGGTGATGCTCCAAGCATATCAAGCTGACCTGCTGAAAGACTGGGATAGCGGCCTCACGAAGTCCAGGTCTGAGCCCGAACAACCCAGGGGTCCTAGCCCGTCTCGGTTTGAGGATCAGAGACTGGCTCAGAAGGCTAGTGGGTAGGGGTAGGAAGAATCGCGGGTCAAAAGAAAGGTAGGTAAAAGACCTAAGGGATGTGATCCAGACAAGGCGTCAGCGCTTTTGTTCGGATCAGAGTGATACCTCAGTATCTACTCATTTCCTTCGGGGGTCTTACATCTGCCCTTAAAAATTTCCTGGACGTCCGGGCTGGGGTTACGCTTTCATGCTACCTTGACTGGTCTACCATATCTGGGTCGCCTTGAGGGGCTTCCCGATCACAAGGATATCCTCTCTTGCTGAGGCATCGAGCGGGAGGTATAGGTGGCATTACGAGAACCTTCCTGTGTAATGCTGTCTCGGGCAGTGCTGTAAACAGTTGCTTGGAAAACTCTAAAATCCAAATACTATGGTAAGTGCACACGTTAAGCTTTGCACACTTTTGCTCCCTCAGCTAAATAACTGCTAGCTATTCCCCCATTGGAACATGCTGTAGGTTGAGCTCCCTCTCGATTGAGAGCTGGATGTTTGCTCCCTCAGCTACAGATTTACTGCTAGCCACTCCAAGTGAATGATGTGTGCTCCCGGCACCTATTTATACTATAGTCGCACCGGTAGTGACGTCATGGCCAACGAGTTGGTGTTTTTTCAATGTATGCTTCAGATACGGGTCACGACGAGGCGTTCCCCATAGCGACCCCTAGAGGACGCAGTGTCTCGTTCCCTACTCAGGGAACCATGGTTACATAAGTAACCTGAGACGTTATCATTGAACTGCAAGTAATCATGATCTCGAAACAAAGCAAATTTTATGTACCTAAGGTTTGTTAAAAAATTGGTGTCATTACTGTCTAGATTCCAAATGATGTTTAATTAAATACATTTCTTTCTCACACACACACACAGGGGCAGATTTAGTGAATTGGGGGCCCCAGGCAAAATATAGGAATGAGGCCCTATACATTTGCACACATTTCCATAGATCAACCTTGAGTGTCCTTTTTGTTCTTTTTTAGCATAAGCCTGTGTGCAAAGGCTGTCTAATTCTAGACTTTAAAATACATTTATTTTTAGTTGTTTTAACTACAAATTTAAATAAAACTGAAAAAATTATGAAAAGGCAATTATACATTTACACACCTAAAATACATATATCAAGAGCATGCTCACAGATGAGAACAAAACAGCGTTGGATGAAGTGGATTAAAGCCCTGCACGGGTCTCAAATATAGGCCCTAGCCCGTCTTTTTCCCCTTTTCCCAAAAAAGCTTATACTACTGTTTCAGCTATTGCAATAGTTCAGTTTTGTATGTAATGGAAAAGTGATTATATTTCGTTTGTTTTTTAAAACCTTACTTGTATCACACTTGACGTGTTCATTGTTTGCTCATAACCGGAGTCAATAATCATGCAGATTTACGTTACAAGTTTATAGAATTGTACAGTAAGAAAGTTATTTCCTTTAACCAGGAAATTAACGTTCTTAGAATTGACAAGACGGTTGACCCTGAGTGGTCAGCTAAATATCTACAGTGGATCTAAAATATGAATAGTTAATTATAACTAGTTATGGTTAATTATTCATATTTCCCCATGAGCTGATTCGCTACAGCACTCTGCAGGACACGCCAGCGCGATCACTTTTTTTTTCTAACAGTGGAAACAACTTAAAATG